TACGTGAGCATGTAGAATATTTTCGGAAATTTCCTTAAAATCATCATAAGCAGCAAGCAAGCCATCGTGAAGGTGTTTCTTTCTTTCTTCCTCAAAAGCTATGAGTGATTCTAGGTCGACTTCTTCATCTTTCATGGAATTACAAAAGAAATAAAGGAAACACTGATGCAAGACCCGAAGTAGAAATGTAGCAATCTGGCTAGGAAGGGAGGTAGGCTGGCAAAACACTGAAGGGTACTCTTGGAGTAGGCGAATTTGCTCTGAGGCCCAAACGCCTCCTGATGAACCAAGCATGTCTTTATCCTTTGGTCGAACTGTCACAAAGGATTGATCATATGTGCGGACCAGAGATGGGTGGTCATTTACATTATCTACCTGCCATTTCATGGCTCTAAAAGCACTGGGAGTTAACTGATTTTCAACTCCAACAAAGTCATGTCCTCTATATTGCTGTGGATTTGGAGTTGACATGAAGATTCCTTTTCCTTTCGTTCCCTGCCATCCAACATCCTGTACCAGCTTTTTGTCATCCATACTGATGTCCAGCGTAAATGCCTTATTTGGGGAGGTATCTACGTAAGCGGCCATTCGTACTAGTTTGATATGTGCTCGTTGGTGATGAGTGTCGATATGAATATCTTCTAATKTTTTCTCTGGCTTTTTGCATGTGAACAAATATCAACCATTCAAATCCTGACGATGTCGCCGCCCCTCTCTAGTGTTTCTTTTCCTTGGTTTCTGCCACAAGGCAAAAGTTCTGGAGCTCTGTAATGTCTTCTTTCCCTGTTCTTCCAAATAGTGATTTGCAATATCAATAAGGTCAGATTCCTTAATTCGGCTTATGTCACAATACATAACGGCGTCACGTCGCCGTCGTTCAGCGTCGCATTCACTTTCCAGAGTGCGAACCACCATATCCATAGTTTCTTCGTCCAGTGTATTTGTTCGTCCTGCACCAGCTTTTCTGGATTGAACTCTGTTTTCTTCAATCAAATTTTGAGCAACCCTTGAAACCATGGCTTT